TGCAGCATTGAGCCGCTTGGGCACACAACTATCAAACTGAATGTGCAAATTAAAATTTCTCCACCCATTGAACTCACGAAGGCAGTACTTGCATGTGGGAGCACCGTTGAGGGAATGCTCAACTTGATTGATTGAGGAGAGGGCCTTCTTGACATGACGATGCGCCTGAGCACCATGTGCACGTACCCGATGGCGTTGGAGCAGACCTGAGTTCGCAAAGGTGCACGGACAATCAGGGCAAGCATATGGGCGAGCAACCAAGGTCACTTCATGAAGTGACGTAGCAGCCTGAGTGGCACCTGAATCAGGGGCTTGTGCTGGTGTCGGTGCAGCAGCCTGAGTGCCAGTCGAAGCGTGGGCTTCAGAGATATCTGGTCCATTCTTGAGAGTGCCTCTGTGCAAGAAGTGCGTCCGTTGTGCATTTGGTGTCGGCTGGGATGTGGGAGCAGGGTTCGGCGCCTGTGGTGCAGCGATGAGCGGCTGTGCGAACGCGGCCTGAAGAATAACATGCCACTGTGCAACCCTATCGAGCTGAAGCGACCGATCGAGGGCCTTGAACCGGGTCAGGTTGGCGGCGGCTTCCTTCGAGAGGAGCGCAACTGGATCAAATCCCAGCTCTCGGTAAGGAAGGCATCCGTGGTCACATGTGTGTCCTTTGACAGCTGTCCACTGACAATGCGAAGGTGTCGGGCAACGATTCCCCGGATCCTGACAATGTCTTTGGTTTCAAGCTGCAGTGCTGTGATCCCGTATTTCAGGCATTGCCAGACCGTCGACCGCCACAACCGCCGCCTGGTGTGGCGGCTGAGATTGTGTCTGGCGCTGAGCACTTGGCGAAGCCTGGAGAAAAGCTGCCCCGCCCGATTGTACCGGTGGGTCATGCTGTGAAATTCCAAGGCCCCGTAGCTGAGGATGATGCCGAGATATGGGTGCTTCCTAACAACCGGAAAAGCGCAGTCGGGTGCCACCCGCAGTTTGGAGACGCCTTTGTCTTTGAATCGAAGTTTGCCCAAAGTTCGCTCAGCCTGTGTGCCATGCAACTGGTAAAGAATCACACTCTTGGTATCACTGACCTCCATGCCATGAAAACGTAAAACCTGAACCAGCTTGTGCAATTGAGCAAGGCAGTCGGTAAGATCCGAGGATGTACGAATCATCCACTGTGCAATCAGGTCGTCAGCATAAATGGTGAGTATTTCTGATGCATGGGGCCCCAGCGCTGCGAGTAGCTGGCGGTACACATAGCCCGTCGCGAGCGCCCATAATGCAGGGGATAATGGACATCCCTGACGAACCCCCCGAGAGGTGGCACAAGAGGCTTTGAGGCCACAATGTTCAATCTCAACAAGAAGCTGGGAATGAATGGCGAGGACCTGTTGAACAATGGGCTCAGGTATCATGGCATCACGCATACCAGCAGCAATCATCGTTCTGGGAAGGCAGTCAAACGCTTTGGCCACATCCAAAGAGAAAGTGACCCCGCCCACGCATTGAGCTCTGGAGGTTGAGTCGCGTCGTCGTTGTACCATGCGCTCTCTGGTGGGGGCTGCCGCCCGGACACTATAAAAGTGTGACACCACACGATGCATCGCTTCGACTGTTGATCGCCCCTCACGTAAGCATACTGGGGGACATCGGCAATGTAATGCTGGAGATACGGTGCGATGAGCTCTGATAACATGATCGCGTGTACTTTACTGGCCGGGCTTAATAAGCTGATTGGGCGAGTATCCGATGGCTGTTGCGACTTTTTGGTGGGTTTCGGCAATAAACAAAGCGAAACCCGCCTAATGGGCATGGGAAGCATGTGGGGTATGTTCGAAAACGCAGCGTTGAGACAGTCACTAAGCACAGGGCCCACCTCTTGCGCAGCAAGCTTCCATAGAACTCCAGGGGAAGCAGAAGGATGCGCGGCCTTCAAGGCCGACAGAGACGCAAGAGCCGATGTGCACATGCTAGAGTCGAAAAGCTTGACACTGCAATCGAAGACCTGTGTCGGGCAAACCCTGGAAGAAGCGAATAGATCCCTAAAGTATTGCAGCAGTGTGTTGCACTCCGCCCCGCCTGTGGATCCTGAAGGTTTCCCTCGGGATCGCGGATTTGCAACCGCGCCCTAACCTTGCGAGGAGCAAGGCGGTTCACCACACGATACAATGCAGATAGCTGGCCCTGCTGTGCCGCCCGCTCTGCCAAAGCGGTTTGCTCGAGAAGAAAGGCCTTCTTGCGAGCGCGGCGCTCAGCAACGACCGTGCGCTCAAGTGCACGGATCTGATGATCAAGCCTCCATGCTGTGAAGGCGGCACGCAGGCAGTAGGCAGGTGGCCTGTGGGTCAGCGCATCTCGTTCGTTGCGCAACTGCCAGAGAGTGCGCACAGCTGTGGCTTCGGCCGGCACAGTATAGCAGCTGTCCCAGCCGGCGCAAGGGCGCCCCGTGCTCCCGCCGGTTGGCTTTGAGTCCAGGCCTGAGTCAAGCATCGATCAATGTCAGCAATGGTGGGTTGTTGGGGTAGGGTGGCCCTCAGCTGTTCACGAAAGGCTTGCTGTCGTGCAGGGTTGTTCCGAACTGCTTCCCAAACGGACCTAGGCTTCAAAGTCAGATGCTTGGGACGAGAGTGCACCCAGGGACACCACGTGAAAGGAAAAGAGCCTCGGACCGGTATGTGTCGAGAGCCCAATCGGCCCATGGCCACCGGCCAATCCTGCATCGGTTCGCTGGCTAGGCTGGTGCCGTCAGCATGTGCCCCACGCAGAATAATGTAGTCTATCTGTGTTTGGGCATTGGTGGCCGGATTGACAAATGTTGCACCCGGTGCCTGACCAAAGGTGTTGGTCGCAACCTGCACAACGTGTGAAGCAGATCCTGGCCGTCTTGTTGCGGGGGAGGGGTGCAAGGGATACCAGGGCCGACTACTCCTTTGCATGATGCGAGCTGGGTGTTCAGGTCACCTGCGAGGCACAAAAGGTTGCGACGTGGGAGCGACCTAAGAGAACCACACAGCTTCTGCAAGAACTGAGCCCTGCGGCGCATGGCATCCTGCCACCAGTCGGTCTTGCTGTCCTGTTTGCGGTGGTGCCAGGCGAACTGATACGCATGAAGAAGGTCTATAGGCTGATTTCCTGCTTTGGGTGTGATCCGCAAGTGCTGCAATCTACCTGCGATGATGGAGCTATGCCTAATGCCTTCCGGGGTGGCTAGACGCTTGGAGATGCAAGTCAGCAAACCGGCCTCCTTGGGGGCACCACTGCTGTGGTGCACAAAGCACCAATGGTCATCATCCCAGTGCAGGTCGTTCCGCCAATAGGTCTCCTGAATGCAAACAATGTCTATGCGATTGCTGTGTGTGCGAAGCCACTCCTTGAGCTCTGCCCACACCAGGATGGTCAGCCCCCCAGCGTTCCACGTAAGCAGGCTGCAACGTCTAGGGGAGGGAGCATGTGCAGAAGTTTTGGCAACGTGAGGCCGTGCGCTTCCTGAGCTGCCGAGCCTATGTGCACAGGCGTGGCGTCTTCCCCTGCGTCACGGGATGTGGCTGGGCCAGCGGCCCTGTGCACTTGCAGATGCCTACCTTCGAAAACAGAACCCCGGTAAGGTGCTACTCCAAACTGCTGCGCCGTAGTGATAGCTCTGCGAAGTGCCCTCTTGCGATGGGGCAACTTGCGGGTGTTGTGGCCTGGCTTCGCCTCTGATTGGCGGTACATGGAGTCTTGCAATGCGGCTCCAGGATCGTCGGCCTCCGATCCAACCCTCGCGTCTGCAGGCTCTCTTGCACTTGTGTAATCTGCAAAATGCGGCCTGCCCCTGGACTTGGGACCAGGGCTGGTTCCTGTGGTCATCATGTACGGTAGTTCTGTGGGTTTTGCTCGGGCTGGGTCAAGTTCATCAGGGGTGTGCGGCATGAAGACAGGAGCATGCGGGTTCAGCGTGTGTCCTAATGCGAAAGAAAAGACAATCTCATGCGCAGGCTCATTCAAAACCGCAGGTCCAATCCCTAACTCGGCTTCAAAGTGCAATGCAAGAACTCTCTGAGGTTGCGACGTAGCAGGTACGAACTCCGGTGCATTCGCGCTCAAGGGCGCAGAAGCACCCGGCAACGGCACACTGAGAAAATCATCATGCTCGCGGTTCGTGGTTGAATCCATCTGCAAAACACTAAAAGAAGAAAAGCACGCACCCAAAATCAAGCTGAAAGTCAAGTTGAAAATCAGATTGGCAACTGGCAACCTTGCAGGGCTCATGTCCTGAGAGGGCCTGGCTGCAGCAAGCTGGTCAAGGGAGCTCCGAGCTCTCTTTCTGTGGCCTCTACCAAAGAGGGATAATTCCTTGACGTGTAAGCAACTAGGGAAAGGCCACCGGCTCGAGGCAAAATGTCCAGTGCAGAAACAAAGAAGTCAGCTGCTTCCAAGTGCTGCCACAAGCTGGCTGCGAGGCGGTCCCCGTAGGAGGGATCTCTTGCAATGTGATCAATGACCTGATCCCGTGCCAAGGTTTTCAAATGAATCAGCTCCGTGGTGCAGTGCAGGAGTGAGCCCGGGCAGCCGGGACGACGCTTGATGGCACCACAGCACCTGAAGGTGCTAAGAGCCGCTACCCCGCCCCGCTACTCGCGCCTACTCCTCGCAAGAGTCAAACGAACTGGGCAACACGGGGAAAACCAGGTGCCCTGAACAAACCCAAACCCAGACCCGAGCGAGGGCCCACCGCTACCAGTTCTCTTGAACCGAGACGCTTCCTGAATAAAACTTTTTTGACTTTGATGCGCAATCGCTCGAGAGCGATTAAGCGAAGGGCATCGGTATCAGAGTGTATTACTCTAATGCCGCGGCAGCTACTGGGCTGCAGATCATTGTTGGATCTTCCCAAAGGCTAAGGACCCCGCTGCGTACAGCCAAGCAGGTCCGACAACTAAGACTGTACAACTAGTTTGACGAGTGAAGACTAAAGGAGAAGCAACGTTTGTGTAACAGCAACTCCACAACTAAGCAAAAAGCGTGACTGGTTTTCAGTCGGCGCGCTGCAAGAAAATGATATATGCGTTTTGCTGGATCCCCACAAGCTCCGAGGACTTTACTTTGCGAGCCGTGGCGTTATCATCAGTGTAGAAGGACTGCGCAAGCACGCCATTCGGTGGCATCAAAATTGAGCGATAGTGACCGCTGTCGGGTGTAGGACCGTGATGAACTGCACAAGCTCTCACAAAGTACTTAACGAAGTACACATCTTGTAGATTGTCGCGAAAAGCAGGAATGTGCACTAAGGGCTCCAGGCAAAGCTTGAAGTCGGTCTTAATGCAAGCTCCATCATTCGTGCTGTCAAAACGGCCCACTTGAATCGCACAAAACTTTGGCGGCTTCAGGAGAGCCTGTGGTTCCGCCTGTTGATGCCAGCACGATAGCAAGTCTTGTAAGCAGCACTCCGAACACGGTGTGGGATCATCAGCGGCTGAGGCGGGCCTGTTTGCGAGCAGCATAGGCCACGTGTGGCCATCATCCACAACCTCCAAGCCACGATGAGGCGCGGACCCCGCAGTCCCCCACGAACCGTCGATCAAGGAAGCATTGAGCTGTGGACGCATGTAGAGCAAAAACTCCGCAATGTCATGCTGCCTCCTAGGTGCCCGCCAGGTACGGGTGGCACTAATCCAGGGCAGCACAGACCAAATGTCAACTGCCCGGCCAGCCTGAACCAAGGATCGCAGCGATGATCCCAGAGGACCTTCGAAGAGTTGGCATCCGAGAAAGGTTTCACTCCATACAAGGCTCAAAAGTAAGGAATTGGCATAACAGCTGTTGCGACCTTGATTGAGAAGCTTCCAAGTTTTTACTTTAGAGCGTACCGCATCTACCTCAATCTGAGTGTGGCGCCCACCCGGAGCCACCGGAGAGGGGAAGTCCACTGGGGAGGAGCCTCCTACGCACTGCCCTGCCGTACTCACCAATTCAGCTTTTTGGCCATGGGTTGCAACTCCAGTCGCTCGCGACGCATTGTCATGCCGATAAGCTGAAGACATCCCGCTCCGCACAAGTCCTGAAGAGCCTGAAACAGTTGGTGCGATGTCTGGCCCTGAAGGGAGATCTGCAACAGGAATGGCATCGTGTTCTCCACATTCTCTGTCAGCTTGCGAGTCGCTGCAAAGCGGTGGATCATGTGGTCCATGTTCAATGCTCGAAGGATCGACGTGATGTGCTGCACCAGGGAGTCGTGCGGGACCTGTCGAACTGGATCCTCCGGGATGAGGCTCTCGTGAGTCTGTGACCACTTCAGATACTGCCATTGCATGCCGTCCCGGCTGAGCCAACCGTGCTTGCGGGCTGTGGCGATGTGGCCCTCGTTCATATGCTCCATTCGATCCTTCAGGACAGTGAAGACCTTCATGAGGAGAGCCTGGCGCAATGTAAGATTCTGAAGGGTACCCTGGGTCTTCGCCTCGTTCCAAAGCTTGCTCGCTTGAAACACCTCTCTCAGGATGCCGTCCGGGCCCGACCTCATGTGGAGAACGAACCCTCGATCCACACGAAGAGCTGCTAGCACCCACTCGTGTCGCACCAGCAGCTGCCGAAGCAGCTGGATCTCCTGCTGTGTCACATACATGTCCGAGTAGCCCTGATAGCCTTGGTAGCTCGGATAGCTCGGATGCCACGACGTTGGTGCCAGCTGCCACGAGGGATCCTGAGACGACTGCCACGGTGTCTGATGAGTGCCCTTTCCTTTGCCCTTGTTCGGGCCCTTTCCCCAATATCCGCCGTGCCCTCCTTGACCCTTGCCCTGATGCTTTAGCTTTTGGCTCTGGTTTTGGCTTAGCGGAGCCCCTCTTCGCTTTGGCGGCATCGGGTGTGTCGACGGCGGGTGGCGGAAGGACGGGAACGGGCTCGGCAGCGGTTGGTTGAACACCGACTCGAACTCCATCAGAGGCGATGGCTCGGGTTCCATGCTCATCTCGGAAAACATAGCCGTGGTGAGCAGCCAGCAGCCGCGCAGCAAATAGCACAGCACAGGCCTCTCGGTGACGGATTCGCGGCCCCTTCCAAGCGATGCCACACAATTGGCACGGGGATTGGACAAAGTAGGACGACTTACGACAGACTTCAATGACCTCTTGAATCATGTCCTGTTGGTCCCCATGTTTTGTGCGCATATGCTTCTTAACTTGACCGCTACTGTTGGCCACCCAAAGGTGACAAAGCGGGCAGTGTGCCAGTGCGACTTCTCGAAATCCTGGGGATTGAGCCAATTGCAACCAGCCCCCCTCGCTGAGATGTTGGAGCGTGCTCGGCCTGTCCCTGAGCGGAGTGCTTTCTGTGCTCGCTTCTTTCGGGAGCGGCGGATGCTGTCCGTAATCCCTGCTATTGTTCGTGTATCCGTGCAGGACAGGGCATGCTTGGGCCTCTATATGTTTACGAAACTGAGGTATGCCAGAGAAGGACTTACGACAGTGTTTGCAAGTGGGCATGCCCGCGTATGAATGTTCTTCGAACTTGAACGGTGCAGCTGTGGCCATGGCAAGCTCCCTCTCAGAAAGGCCGTGGATCGAGGTCATATGGTACCTCAAGGCCGTGGTGTCAGCAGCTTGGTAGTCACAGACAGGACACACCAGGTCAGCATGGGCACCCGTTTCAATCGGAGCCGGAGGTATCGTCTCAGTGGGTGTCGTGACCTCAGCAGGTGTTGCGTGTAGCACTGCTACCGGGTCCTCCGGTCCATTCTCAGCTGCAGGCTCAGGTGGGCAATTGTCCTCCTGTGTCACAGCAGACAACTCAGCCGGCGGTGTCACCGCAACAGCTGGTTGTGAGGGAGCAGGGGACTTCCTACCTGGCACTTCAAGTGAGCTCAGAACAGCATCCCAAACCTGTGTCAGGCCCTGTGGCTGCAATGCGAAGACCTGTGATTGACTAGTGCGTTCATGTCTGGCCTTTGTCTTGTCAAGCAGCATATCCGCAGGGTGTGGCAGCTCCAGCCTGAGCAGAAGGTCCGAGGTGGTTTCCCTGCTGATGTGAGACGGCGAGTTGGCCATAGCCCTCAAGTGTCGCACTGCCGTGGCATAAAGCTGACGGCGTCCAACGATGTCGAGGCCTGTGCAATCAATGCCGTAGCACATCGTGGTCCACACCACTGCCCTCCACAAGCGAACCCTGCAGCGCAAAGAAAGTCTACTGGTGCGCTTAGTGGCCACCTGGATCCTCGCGAAACTGGCCTGGGCGCAACGTGTTCGATATGCAGCCGTCTCGCGTTCCAAATGGTTATAAGACAACATCACTCCTAGGTATTTGTGCTTGGACTTGACAGGGAGCAGTACATGATGACCCTGACACGGAATTCTGGCGCACAGTCCCAGCTCGGGGTCATGCGTTGTGTGCTTGTTCCAGAGCGACACATGCTTGGCACCTGCCAGCTTGATGAGGATCACCGATTTCTCTGTATTGGCACACAGGTTGTGTGCCTTCAAGAAGTCGAGTAAGAAGGCAACCTGGGTCAATGCCATGGACAGGTGCTCTTTGCATTGTATCTCCCATTGGCCCAGAGTGTCATCTGCGAACAGAGTGAGCAGGGGACGTAGCTCTCCTTGATCGAGCAACGGGCCTAGTTTGGACATCAGATAGCCAGTTATGCAGGCCCAAATGATAGGGGCCAAACGGCATCCTTGTCGGAGGCCGCGTCCTGTCGCGGTGGACAGGGCCTCTCCCGAGCAAGAAGCATAGCTAACACGCATGGCTTCGTGTATGCCGACAATGACCTCGACCAGAGAAGTGGGCACGCCAGCCCACTCCAACGACTTAGCGATAAGACACCGGTCGATGGAATCGAAGGCCCTACGTAAGTCAATGCTCAAAGTAAGGCTGCCGCGGATCTCGTGCTGGGGTATACCCGCACGCCTGTGGTGGATCGTGTACTGTTGACCGACCCGTTGCCTAGTCTGGTGGATGTGCCACACAGCCCGATCAACCGCATCCGCTGTTGAACGCCCTACTAAGTAGGCAAATTGTGGAGTGTCCGCCAGCTTGTGCGCGATGGTGTCCCTAACCCGGTACATGAGCATGCCAGCGAAAGATTTACCAAGAGGATGCAATAAGGAGATGGGGCGGAGCTTGGTCACAGCGTCAAGTTTCTGATCTGTTTTGGGTAAGAGACACAGAAATGAGATCGCCCATTCAAGTGGCCACTGCTGCCTAAACGATCCTGCTTGCAAGCCACACTTCAAGAGCCGAGCCGTGCACGAGCTGACTGTATCAGCACACCAGCGCCAGAGTGGGGCAGGGGCACAGTGGGCAGGCAAGGCTTTATGCAACGGAAGTTCAGAAAGAGCGGCCTGGAATTCTATTTCCTCGAAGTGCAATGGCTGCGTCAGCCAGGAGTCCTCCGTGGCAGAAGCTGAAGCAAATACCTCCGAGTAGTGAGCAAGTATGTGTTCCGCCTCCTTTCGGGGGCCAAGCAGTCGGCCATGCTCGTCTCTCAGCTGCAGTTTCCTCCGTCGGAGTTTCGGTGCAATGCGACGAATGATTTGATACAATGCTCCGGGGTTTCCTCGGGTGCTCGCACTCTCAGCATCAAGAAGTTGTTGCTGAAGCCTGGCTTGTTTGGCAGCCCGCACACGCTGCTGAATAGTGCGGCGAATGGCCTGGTATCGGGAGATGTGATGCCATCGGGCCATCCACGACCTAGCTTGTGTGGCTCTGGTTCTATGGTGCCACATATTCGCAAGACAACAGTCCTTGGCATGGACCGTACGCTGTCGCCGAACGGGCCCGAAGACCTGGGACCAGGACTGAGTAAGTGCAGTGTTGATTCCTTCCATGTCGACACACTGGTCAAGTGCCTGCGCCACCAACTGTTGGAACTGCTGTGCCTTGACAGGCTGTTGGTTCAAGGCCAGTGAAGCAGAGTCAGGGGTGAGGCGTTGTCCCCGCATTTGGTGTCGTGGCAACCGAGGGCACGGCAAGCGTGCCCGCAGTGGGTAATGCCACATGCCCTCAATGGGGAGAAGCGGGAAGTCTCGCAGAAGCTGGGCACAGCGACTGCCGTCATCCGCCTGAGATCGGCGCATGATGATAAAGTCGATCTGCGATCCCTGGACAAGCTTTTGCGACGCGTTGATGTATGTGCTGCAGGCCAGGCCCGACTTGCCAAAGCTATTGAGTACTTGCAAGTCCTCATTCTTCAAGATATCAAGAAATTCATCCGAGTCGGCTGCCATGGGTGGAAGTTCACGGTGCCCCGCACGGACGTTGCGACGGTAGCCCTTGCCAACAAAAGGCAGACATTCAGTGATAGGGCAGTTGAAGTCACCTGCCAACACAAGTTGGGACCGGGCAGAGGTCCCATGCACAAATTGCTGAATCCTGCGCCAAACCGTGGCACGCTTAGAGAGCAGCAGCTCTTTTGATGCAGTGCTGAGGTCACTTCTCCATGAGTGTTGGTAGACTGCTAGCAAGTTGGTACACGGCTCCGTTGCCAGCCTGACGTGGAGAAGGCGGCCCGGCTGAATTTCATCATACCTGATAAGGTTCGATTGGCACACTTGCTTGGATATTATCACCAACAAGCCCCCCTCTTTATTGCGGTTCGTGCCTGAGTGTACATAGGAGAACAGTTCGTCCTCCCACTCACTGGAGCTTTTCCAGAATGTCTCCTGGATGATGGTGATCCCTGGACGTGCCTGTGGGGTTTGCATGTGGAGCCACTGCTTTAACTCGGCATACCTGGCCGAGGTGAGGCCTCCACAGTTCCAGCTAAGTACATCCCTGAATAAAACAAAGTCTGATGTCTACATGTCGCATCCTCCGAAGGAACCCCTCCATCCCGGCAATCTGGCGAGCAGACGCGCTGTCGGTGTAGATGGCGAGGGGCTTGGCGATCTCGCCCCAAATGTGAGAAGCCAGCTGACCTAAACCGGCAATTTCCTTAGCGGCCTCGGCAATGGCAAAGAGTTCGGCTTCGGCAGAGGATAAGGCAACTACGGTTTGTAGCCTACTGTAGCCCTTTACGCAATACCACAGGGAACCGGCCACTACGTAGATAACCCCACCGCTAGTACTCTTCCTCCCGGTGCTACTTTCACTGCCCCAGTTGCTGTCACAGAACGCCACCAAAGCGGCACCCTCTTCTTCCAAAGTTTCCCCGCTCCCGGCGGGAAAAACCTGATCAAGCAACGGACAACCGACCAACCACCGAAGAAATTTCCTTAGCGCATCCTCGTGCACCATCCTTGGTGCAGCTTGCCCTCTCGAAAGCATAGAATGGAAATATGTGATGTCAGTGCGCGTCTGGGTCAACCAACCAATCTTCCCAAGGCAGGACCTGAACCTACCCGCGGCTTCTGGAGACAAAGAGGGCGATGGGGATTCAGGGTCCTCAGCATCATATAGAGCCCTAATGTCGGGGGTTGTGGCCACAGGTTTGACCTTAGCCAGGTCCTTCTCGGTCCACCCAAAGGCAGAGAAGACTGAACGCACGTACTCAGGTTTCACCCCAAGGGTGATGTTGTTCCCATCTAGCTTGATAAGCCGTCCTAAAAACTCAAGCTGGCCATCTTCATGGAGCCTTCCAGTGACCTTTACCTTTAGAACCGCACTCAGGGACTTGTGGATAAACTCAACCCCCTCTTGGCTGTCGGAGACAATCAATAAATCATCCACATAAAGCTAGGGCGATGATATACGTCCACTTCTTTCCCAGCTGAACCCATCCACTAAAGAGCGTGGGCTCGAGCGGCGAGGCTTTGAGGCCCAGGCCGACCATAATCTTACCGAGGTGCCTTTGCCAACTCAGGCTCGCGCTGCGCAAGCCATACAAGGCCTTCTCTAGGATCAAGTACGCGGTGCCTCCGCCCTCTAGGCAGAAAGAGCTCGGGAGCTCCACCACAGTGGGTTGAACAACGTTCGCAAACAGGAACGCAGTAGAAATGTCCAAACCCCAAACCCGCATACGACCCTTCGCGGCTCTCGAAAGTATGAGCTTGAGTGCCTCCACACTCGCAGCGTTCGAAGAGAGGCCAAGATCAAGGGCAGAGGGTCTGCCGTGCGCGAAGTCTTTCGCCACGAGGCGTGCCCTGACAAGCCCTGGGGCTTTCTGCGTCAGCACCCACCGTGACTTTATCACGCGGCGCCCTGGGTTCTCTTCCTGGTAGCGATCAACCTCAGACTTGGAACGAAGGAGGCCGACTTGTAAAGAGTCGACGGCCTTGACCTCAGTCTTCATTCCTTCCCAGCTCTCTTTGTTGTCTAGCTGGATTCCATCGACGTCGTCGTAGGAACTCCGAGGCCTGGAGACCCAAACCCAGCGATCCCCAATGGGCATATATGTGCCCTCTTTCTCTTGATCTTGATCATTGCAAGCAGGCAGGTCCGACCGACCAACCGACCGACCAACCGACATGCTCACGCCCGACCGACCAACCGACACGCTGTCGCCGCTCGACCGACCAACTGGCACGCTCAAGCCCGACCGACCAACGTCATGCTCCACACGCTCATGCTCAAGCAACGCAATGCAAGAGTACGGCAACTTATCGCAAGAGGAGCGGCCGTCGACAAGCAACGAGCAAAACGCTTGCAAATCATACACATCACACGCGGTCAAGGGAGTGGGAACGTAGCGGACGCAGCCGCAAGCCCACATTTCCTCCAATAACCGAATCGCGGGGCGATCATCCTTCGGTGCCTCGGCGACACCCATCAGATCATCTTCTCCCTCGTCCTCGGAGGGCAACGAGGGCTCGTAGTCACTAAGATGGTCGTTGGCCTCCGGACCGATCTGTGGTACTTCTACTTCTTGCTCTGAGGGCGCCGAGGGCGCCGGAAACTCACGAACTTCTGAATCACCGAATCGAACCCGCTTGGCCGGTGGGCCTTGAGCGGGCGGAGGGTCCCGACCAAGCTCTTCAAGAGCGTTGTCCACAGCATCTCGGAGCCACCGCTGGTAGCGCCGGACGCACTTTATTGAATGGCGAGAGGACGTGGCCTCTTCGGAGCATCCGGGGCACTTAGGGGTGCCACCGTGCTCGCGGATCCATTCTTTGGAGGGTCCCCCTCCCGGCACATAGGGAAGGTGGAGCTCGCGAAAGCGCTCCTCATCCAAAGGTGGCACAAAGCCTTCCAGAGGCCTGGCACCGTCAAGCAACGAAGCATCATATCGAAGAGGGTAGAGCAACTTCAGACCCGGCGCAACAATCAACTTGGTTTCTCCAGAATCCAGCCGGATACGCACCTGGTGCCCGGTAGAACCAAGCACAGGACCCAGGCACACCCCGCGGGCGTACTTGGAATCAATTTCCTCTTTGCTAGAACGGCTGACCTTTGCAAAAACGACAGCCCCGAAGGGATAGGTCAACTGGGGGTCGTGGCCCCGCAGCTTCTGCAATGGAGACATGGTGCTCCCGACCGACACTGCAAAGCGATTGTGCACATGTGCCGCGTATCTGAAAAGAAACTTTTTCATAATCGGATTTTCAAACATATGCCAAGGTAAAGGACTCAAGGTATATTTGCAAATGAATCCAATCGCAAGTACGAACATGATTCCAAATAAAGCAGCATATGATGCAATCGCACATTCACTCATTTTGCACGGGGCGAAACACGGTCTGGCGACCGCCCCCTTCGGGGGCGTGGGTGAGGAGGGTGGGAGCAGTGCAGTAGCACGTACGCCAGCTACGGACTACCACGAGTGAAACGGACTGCAAGAGTAGACAGCAAGCAGCTGAGCACAGCGTACTTGGCACAGCCTACGGCTACAACTACGCAACTACACCTACGGCAGGCACAGGTGGAACTCACAAGAGAGCTCAACACCGGCAGCACGCAAAGCGAGTGCGGCGGAACAGAAGTGAAGCGGAGCTCAAGGAGAGCTCGAGACACAACATGAAAGGTTGGCAAGCTCGATGGCACGCAGAGCCAGAGCAGCACACAGGGAGTGGTGGGTGGGCAGAAAATTCTTTCAAAGCTCAGCTCGAGCACTGAGCTACATACACATGTTGCATTCCAAGACCAATCACGGAGATGCAAAAGTCACTGCAAAATCAGCACAAGTGTAAAATCAAGCATGCCAAATTTTGAAACCAATGTTTGAAAATGCTCGCATCGAGCTCGCTGTCCTTTTATGAAAAAGGGATCGCAGATGGCGCGCGCTTGTCTGCTGAGATCCTTTTCATAATCGGATTTTCAAACATATGCCAAGGTAAAGGACTCAAGGTATATTTGCAAATGAATCCAATCGCAAGTACGAACATGATTCCAAATAAAGCAGCATATGATGCAATCGCACATTCACTCATTTTGCACGGGGCGAAACACGGTCTGGCGACCGCCCCCTTCACCCCTTCTTAGCAATCTTAGCGGGAGCCAAGAGATCCTTAAGGTCACAACCCGACAGGGGGCACGAGGGACTAACCCTACGACAACCAAGCTTAATCAAGGATGCAAAGTCACCACGCGACGGAGCGTCGGCCACATTGCTCTGGCTGGCAACACGGGCGAACCAGGACCAAGAAGCACTTAGCTCTTCGGCCGCCTCGAAAGACAACAATATGTCCCTGATGTGATGGTTGGCAGAGGTGCCCTTGATGAAAGAATCTTGTGCAGGCACATTATCAATGTAGAAGATACATCTGTGTCCCGCGATGAATTGGTGCCAAGCCTTCCTCGCGACGGCAACGGCGTAGGCCTCTATGGGCCCTATGAAGTGACACATGGATTCGGCCCAGCGCGACACCAGGGCAGCAGGGACCGAGCAACCAAAGTAAGCGTGAACCTGATTCTGAAACATCAGCACCCCTCCCACGGTGTGGGAACTTCCTTCGCTCGCCCCATCGGTGTAAATGTGTACAACGTGATCGGCCACGGAACAAGGGACATGGCGAGGAGTGCCACAACGAAGTCGGTTCAGCAATCTCTCAAGAGACCGCCGAACACAATCATCAAGCTTCAACTCAGGTCCAGAGTGCGCCTTTGCCCAAGACCTAACCTCTGCCAAGAAGAGGCGTCCAGCCTTGCCAAGGATGTATGAGTCAGTGTAGTGCAGGCGACCCATTAAGCTTAGATACCGCTTCCGAGAGATCAAACCTTCCTCAAGGACCTCGCCAAGAGAAACAATGAGCTCTTCAGCCCGGCCCGGCTTGTTCCGGACAAGAACTAAGCCTTCAGAAAAGCGAGAGCAATCAACCTCAACTCCAAGCATCGTGGCCTGGGCCTTAAAGGGGGAAAGCTTATCGGAGGCGAACCTAAACCCCAACAGGTTACACAGGGCAATCATGGTCTGCATGGTGTTGTCAGCAATGCCACTCGGAGACATGACAGGGAAGTCATCATAAAAGTTGCACCAAGGCACACACAGCTCCACGCCGATGCGCCAGAATAGGCGCGCAAGGCGATTGAAGTGAAGCACCGAAGCGGAACTCCCGAAAGGTAGGGCCTTCGACTCAAAGAGTCCAGGCTCAGCAGTCGAAGGGTCAAGCAATGCGATTATTGCCAGGGCTCGCGACTTCGCAGAAACAGCAAATTGCTTATAAGCCGCTCGGAGGTCCAAGGTAGTGAGGAGAGGCTCGCACCCCACCTTCTTCCAGCCGTCATGACGACGACCACTCAAGGATTCACCAGTTGAGAGAGGGATTGTGAAATCAGGCGGCCCGTTCAGAACCCGAATCCACAACCTGCTGATCCCAATCAACTCGTCAAGCGCGTTAAGATCAAGCTTATCCATCGAACCGAAAGCCAAATTGACCTTGTTCTCAGTGAAATCATCAACAGGTCTAAGTTTACGGCCGGCAGAGGAAGTCTGTTCAACGCCGAACCGGCGAGTAGGGAGCCAGCACGGCCCGTGTCGAGACAACAACTCCTCAGCAGAAAGCGGTCCCTCAAGAATGCCATCAGCCACCTCACCAAGAGTCTTGTCCCACAGCTCACGAGCATTCGCATCGGATGCAGAAGCACGAATCTTTCCAAGTAAAGCGGGCTGCAGAAATTGTGCGGCACTAATGAAATCGCTTTCGGCCAACTCTGGTGGCCTGGGCTCGTGAGCGAAAACTCCAGTGTGTTCATGATGGCCCACCAAGTCAAAACCATTGCGCAGTTCATCGAAAACCTTCATGTCAACCCAACCAAGGGAGCCGGCAATACGCTCCAGAAGCTTTAGCCTTTTTCCTTGTAAAACCTTGGCGACCTGATGATCAAGCACATCCTTCAAAGCACGTTCCTCGCCTTCGAGGTCGGAGGCCCAGGACGTCCACTTCCTGAGTAGGGCCGCCCTCCGTTGCACAACCCAGGTCGGGCCATTGACCAACATGTCAAAAACGCATTGTTTGAGACGATCAGGAGCGGCATGCAGGTGATCGAAAGGATGAGTAACCCCTCTGCACCCATCAAGAAATTCATCAGGAGAGGCGTACACACCAAGGCGAACCTCAAAAGCCCTAGCATCACAAGAAGGCTCCAAGGTCCGCGCACAGGAGGCATCACTGTCCGAACCGTGCACGGATTCGCAACTGCTGGCATCACTGCTAGAACTATCCGAGTCCACAACCTCATCCCGGGAAAACTTCAACGAAGACCCAGAACCACCCCCGCTGAGCAGTAAAGAGGTCGAAGAGAGAAGTTTGGATCCAGAGGGAGCATCGCGGAGGGGCTGCAAAATGCACCGCTTGGAATCAACAGGCGGCAGAGCATGAACTTGGTAGACAAGCACACGCTTGAACTCAGGCATAACAGGAGGTAGTTTACGCCCGCGAGGTTGCCGAGCAGATGAAGTGGCAGCAGCGGCAGGCGTGGCCGCAGTAGGATGCACAGGCAAGGGACGACCCAAGTGCCGAAAGACCAGCGCCACGAACTGTTGGCAAAAGGGCCTAGGGTAGGCCGCCTCCTGCTCAGTGGGAAAAGACAACGTGCCATCAGCGCGGCGCTGGGGCTTCCACGGAAGGTGTTCGTGCCCACCCGGACAGCGCTGGCGAAAATGCTCGATGGCATCACAAGATGTAAGCAGCGTACGGTGGGTCAATCGTGCACCACCATAGCAACACATGTCGAAATTGACCCTCGGAAAATTCTTTACCAAATGAGCAAAACAGGGCAGCTGCCAAAGCATGCTTGACTCAGGATTCTCAACTGTCCATGGGATGTTGGAGCTGCAAAGCAAATCAAGAAACTGGGCAAGGCCAACGTAAATTTTGTTTGCAGCCTGGACCTTGTCAAGGTTGACACCAGTCAGCGAAGGCAAACCCATGGGATGCTCAGGAGAGCGAAGCGGGGCCACGGATACCCCTTTCCGCTTTATGTTGCGCGCTGCAGAGCATGTGCCACAAGGCGGGGCAGCATGCACGAAGAGTATAGGATGATCACGCACCAAACTGCGCAGGAAAACCCAAGTGGACTCCTCGGTCAAGCTGAGATTGCAGACCTGCGCCAACGGATGATGGCGGTTGTGCTGGTGATCAATGGGCATGACAGGAACACCCGCTTCACGAAAACAGCGAGAAAGCATGGCGGTGCCGACGCATAGCTCAAGAAAAAGTGGTTCTTTGGGAACCACCGCCTCGGTAACAGCCTTGGTTGCTGAAGCACTCGACAGCAGAGGAAAACGCGGCGGCCACGGCAGGCGAACAGGCAGCTGTGGGTGCTCACGGAAGTGCTCGACCTCTGGCTCGGTTGGCAAGGCAAAATCAAGTGAAATCAAGCGTTGCGAAGCCTCGAGAGACAGCTTATCAAAGGCTGAAATAGAAAAAGCAACCAAAATGACCCTCCTGCCCTGCCACGAATCAGTGAGGTGCGTCTGCCTGCGTGCATCAAACAGGACAGGGCCATCCGACACAGGCAATGCCACCCCTTGAAGGGTTGCACCATCAACAGTCCGAGTGTGGGGACCCTTGCTGGATTGCACCCAAATCGAACCTTTAGTAAAACTGGACGAGGGAATGGCCAAATTAGGCAAGAAGGAATTCTGCTGATCACGATGCGGGGCCGTGCGAACACCATCAAAGAGCACGACGGTTGTGAACTTGTGGGCAGGAGCCGACTGCCTTACAAAAGCGGCCAGCACCTGCGTGGACTTTGGAAAAACAGCGACATTGCTCCTAAGTCCCACCTTGACCTTGGCAAAGGCCCCAGTGGTAAATGAAATGCCGCCACCGGAGCCGCGTTGCGGCGCAGCTTTCGGGAGGCAATCGAAAAGCTTCAAAACATCAGCCTGTTCAATCCACTTCCCAATCAGACTAGAAGCAAATTCTTCAGCGGAAGGCAACCCATTAGGACCTGCATGCATAACTTCCCCTTCAGGGACACTGCATTCAGAAGAAGAGCGCACAAGAGGCTCACCGCTCGGCGCAGCATCCTTCTCGTCAGTCGTTTGGTCCATGGATTGCACACCTAGTCACTCCTTCTTGCGTTTGGGACACGCCGTGTACCCATGATCTCTCTTGAAACATCCTTTGATGCAGCAGACATGGAGTCCTCGCTCGCACTTCCCATTGGATACAGCTCTCTGGCAACGGCCTAAGTTAAAGTCGAAACAGATTGGCAATCCGCGAGTCGTGGATGGAACTCCGTCTGCAAGCTCAGCGGGCATACGGACATTGTTCTTGCCCTTTCCTTTACCCTTGCCTTTCCCCTTGCCTTTCCAGGGCCTGCGGTCATCGTACGGGCCAGGCCTGAAAGGAGCCGGAGGGGCCGAGACCAAAGGCTGCAAAAGGTGTGTGACATTATTGCAATTCATTGCCTCGTTCCAAATCTTATCAACAGGCTTGCCGTCAGAAACAAGTTGGATTCCATGCCGAGTGCGATCAGCTGCTTCCACAAACAGCTGCCGATCAGCCTGCATAAGCTGCTGCAGCGTCACACGTGCATAGTTATCAGGTGGATCCCTGAAACGCGCGGTAAACAGTGCTTCCACCCACCGCTCGTGCTCCGAAAAGGTAACAATCCCTGCCTGGTCTAGGGCCAAACCACGACGGGTCAATGCCAGCTTGAGGAGAAGGTCTCAGGACACATCAGCATCAACCTTTGCAACCTGGGTGCGTAGAGACACATGACCGGCACCATCAACGGACAACATCTTATCATCGCGATCCTTCTTGAACTTGACCTCATCATCACGGCAAGGGCACGACTGAGGCGGTAAGTAATGAAGCACGTTATCCTCATACATCTGAACGCACTTATCGATCACGGCATGACCCGGAAGAGTCGGGCCGTGGATCGTCAAACCACTCAGCCGAACCTGCTGTCGCTGCAACCGGTCGGCCCGGTCGGGCGCTGCGAGCTTTCTCGGAGCAGAGTCATCAGTCCTTTCTACCTGCGATTGCAATTCAGACACAGTTAGGTTGTAGCTCTCATGCAGCAAGCGGCGAAGCACACTGAGCTCCGCAATCGAAGGGTCACGCCCAAGCACTTTGACGATGGCAGCAGTGAATGGGCTCTCATCCGTGCTCCCGGGCACGTATGAGCTCAAGAAAGCATACTTGCTCATGCAATCAATGCCAGCATCAACGAACTTCACCAGCACTGGATCCTCCAGACCAAGAGCCTTCGCCCTCGAAGAGAAGTTTGCCTTGCTCTCTGTGACGGCCATGGCACAAAAACCTGTCAAGGCACTATGGGTCTCCAGCCAAAGTGCACACTCACCGCAAACGTCAATTGCACTTGCAAACCGCTGACTGTCGGACACAAGTTCAGCACGAACTCACATACTTGACGGCGCCCGGCAAGTATTTCACACGACACTCGTGTTCAGCATGTTCTAAAAACTCGCATGACACCGGACAAGTAAGTCGGTGCCACATCAAAACCAGGCCAGTGCCCGAAATTCGTACATGTGCCACCGCGTGGACCGGTGGCATCACGCACTCACGCACATCGTGAAACCCGCAAGGGTCAGACAATTGAGCCGAGTGGGTCCAGCTCATCCAAATCCAAGCCGCGAAGTCCGGCAAACCACAAGTGCGCAAGCACATCAATCCATCACCGAGTGAGTCCGGTGAGCACCGCGTGTACCGGCTTCCACAAGTGCGCACATCACTTGAAACAGTTTTGGCACATGTCTGCCATAAACCTAGGCCTCTCAGCAAGACGCTCGAACTTCTTTGAGCACCTCTTCCCACAGCGAAGCCGATTCCCGCCCTCATCAGCGAGACGGTGAAGCTTGCGGGAAGTAATGTGCCTGATGTACACATGGGCATCAGGGTCTCCCACAGCTAACTCGGCCCAAGGCGGTATGATCTCATCAGCCGCAGCCTCCTCAGCACGAAGGTCCTGAACGTTGTCCTCTTCGTCCAATGACGCCTCAGAGGCCGACGGTTCATCATTGAACTCCGGTCCTGGCTCGCGCTCAGGCTCAGTTGGGAAATAGCCCGAACGCGTGGTGTCCGGGAGGAACTTGCCGATCCTTATATCGGCGAGCACGTACTCAAGAGACCTCAGAGCAGGCGCAACATTGTCACGCCCATAGATGTGCATCATCTCGTCCTGCGGAGCCTTGTGATATCCCAAAATCCTCCGGTGCAGCGCGTCAACACCATACTTTGACATCCAAGACAAAGTCGTAGCCTTGCAGCTGTGAGTACCAAGCTTTGAGGCTTCAGGGAAACCTCTGGCAGACAAAATCCCGCGCAACCAACCAGCTGCTACGGTGGCCGTGGGCGGAACGCCCGACCATCCGCCCTCCTGACCACGGCTGGGCAGGAGAGGAAAATCTTCCCCCTCGGGAATGGCGAGGTCCTCACGAAGGCTCATCCACGTCCTGAACCAAGGCACGGACGCAACCCCGCACAATGGCCCCACCATAGGAAGCAATGCTGTTTTCCTCTCCAAGGAGAAGCTGGTCTTTGTCCGTGAAGTCTCACCTTGGAAGTACCCTGCAAGTGGTCCCATGAAAGAGTCCGGCTCATCCAAAACCAGATTCATCAAAGCCTGGCCATCGCTGTATCTAGCACGAAGATAAATGCAGAGTAAGAAAAAGCCTGCACACAGCCTGTCAACATCATTATCTGACTCATCCACCACAAGGCGCTCCAATCTCTTGACCATAGCAACGGTGAGTGGCGGCTTCTGTCGCCTCTTCCTCTTTTTAAGAAAAGAGGCACGCGCAAGCCCTGTAAGGCGGCCACTGCAAAGGGAGTCAGAGAAAGACTCAGCACCCAAAACGAACTTGCAAAACGCCAACGAGGACATGAGTGCCTTGCCGAAAGACGGCGCGCTGGAATCCTCCAAATCGAGCAGGAACTCATACACATCTTTCTCTCTCAGTGGCAGCGGCTGGAGACGCCGCTTCTTGGCCCACGCCACAAAACGGAGCAACGGCCCCGCACGATTGTGCAGTGTACCCGCAGCTTTGCCCGAAAAGGTGTGCAGCAAACCTTGCGAGACTGCGGAGTCCTGGCAGGACGCGGCAGCACACCTGCGGCCAACATCAAAGGTGAGTGGATCCTCAAGGACGATAGACACCCACTTCTGAATGGCAGCACGCAGCTTCTTGTCAAGGTGCACACTCCAAGAATCCTGCAGCCTGACCCTGCCCAGGGCAAGCTTGACAACAGAAGCAACGGTAACCTGGGATGACACCATCTTGGGCACTGGCACAGACATGACAGGCGGCATGGGCCCGCTGGCACGTGCCATACCGGCAAACAAATTGGCAGAAGGCTTAAGTTTAAAATCCCAGGATCGGACAAACCCAGTCTTATTGAACTTGCGCATGCAAGAAGCCAAAAGTGCCTCGTACGACCCAAAGGCCATGGCGGCATCCCTCCGGCGACTGTCACCTGCCTCAGAAACCCCACCTTCAGAAGATGCAGGGGGCATGGAGCCGGAGGCAGAATGAAGCAGGTCACTCAAAGCGGAAAGCACGGGCGATTCGCTGCACTAGTTGCTCCAGCCAGCCTAAGCGAAGGGAGTGCTGGTACCTTTCGGCCTCAAGATTAACAGTCTGTTGGCGCACTTCCTGAAGCTCTGAACGCAGCGAAGCAACCTGCTGTTCTAGAGAAGTAACCGCAAGCTGTACTTCGTGTAAGTGGGCCGAAATGGCCTCCTGAGTGTCGCTCGAAGACGACGCGGCCTCAAAGGTCGCGCCAGGGTCCATCCAAGCCCCTGCGGGGCTCTTGCACGGAGCTCTAAGAGCAACACCGAAATACGGAGGGCACGGGCCTGCTAGACAGAAGTACAAGCCTCTAGAGAGCCCACACAGAAAATTATTTCAAAGCTCAGCTCGAGCACTGAGCTGCATACACATGTTGCATTCCAAGACCAATCACGGAGATGCAAAAGTCACTGCAAAATCAGCACAAGTGTAAAATCAAGCATGCCAAATTTTGAAACCAATGTTTGAAAATGCTCGCATCGAGCTCGCTGTCCTTTTATGAAAAAGGGATCGCAGATGGCGCGCGCTTGTCTGCTGAGATCCCTAAAGTACCCGGATCATCCCCGAGGACAACACCATTTTCACGAAGTTGTAATTCATGAGAAGACACAATTCCTTTCAAGGTCCGCACTGCTCGTTCAGCAACGGGAGCGCGGCGCTCCGGAGCAAAGCTTTCACTGTGTCCCTCACACCGTTCCGCTAGGGCCTGTGCAATGCTGATGGTCAGCGGTTCCGGATCTGAGTAGAAGGAGGGCTTAGGAACAGCGCTCTGGCCTAACCCAAAATGGGCTAGCCACGGCTCGAGATGCCCGGCTGATTCGCGTCCACTCATCCCTTCTGGTCGGAACGTCACTCCAATCGCAAAAGCAAGCACATGCACTAGAATAATAAAGCACCTTAAGCGATACATGAACTGATCTACCTGATACTCCCTATCGGGTCTGTCACTTCGCACGCGGGCTGGCGTCAGCCCTCAGCTTCTGTTGCAAGCTTCACAGCTCGCTCAGTATGGGACGTGACCCTGAGAGACATGTGACAGGCGCTTGTGCAGCTCACGGCGTGTCTCCGGATCTTTTTGACATGATCAGCTCTCCCTGCCCTGCTGCTAAACCCAAACCGGCCCGACCGTCTGGTTGCGTATCGGGCTCCTTGTTGTGATTCTTCTGGTTGAGGGGGTCCTCTTCCTGCAACGGGGCAACAACAGCAGCGGAACTGAAAACTGAACATGGCTGACCGCAGAACTCACACGAAGCGTGCACTCCAGAATGTTTCCATGCATGCTGGTGCGTTGGCAAAGCAAAAAGGCCATTATTCATGGCGTCGGGCTTCGAAAGCTGTGAGACGATTAGGGTCGGGCTGCGAGAAGGTCTCCTTGGCGGAAGTGGCTGCGGGTTGATAACCCACGTTCCCGCTGGAGGTGCCGGTGGTGGCACTCCCGGTGGCGGTGCCAGTGGTGGCCCCAGAGCCCTGCCCGTTGGGCTTGAAGTAGGCCGGCTCGCGTATTCTGTGGCCATCTCCGCTGCAACCCTCCAGGAGTCTGCTTCTGCCTCCGTACAGATGCCGAGCCTCATCCTCGTGTATAAGCTCTCGCCGCTGGGCGAACTCAGCACTGCACCCGGAGGTGGGTAGCTGCGTGGCACCCACGAATATGTTGGTGGAGCCGAAACCGGTGGTGGCGGAGGTGCCGGAGGCGGCACACTCGGCGACACGTTGGGTGGCGATGGCGCTTCTTGCTCCATCCCTGTCTCCTCCACCATCTCGGTGTCCTCCTCCGCAGGTGCCTCCAATGGCGCCGTCTTGGGCGGTGTCTTGGGCATCATAGACCCGAGTCCCTTCGGATCCACCGCCTTGGGTGGGGTCTGTGGTTGTTGATCCCCGCGGCCAGCCTGTGCTGGCTTCGCCTTCCGACCCAACAGCTGGAGGAAGCGCGGCCACTCGCCTGTCAAGACACCACCAGGGTGGACGCCTCCAAATTGGGGTGCCTGACCGCGCTGGACCCCCAGAGTGTCCGGCCAAGGCCGCCCCCTGGCTTTCACACGCCGCGGCTCCGGCTGTGATGGAAGCACACGCCGCTCCACTGCTCGTGGAGGCTCTGTGGTTCCGCCCAGATTCCCGGAAGTGCATTGCTGGATTTCGCTGTGGCTTCCGAGTCGACCTCTGGCGGCGGCAAAGTTGAGCCATCCGCCTTCGCCGGTTGGTTGCTGAACCAAGCTAGTTGGAGAACTAGCTCCCTCGCCTTCTTGATCTCGGGCTCGGCCAAGTCCGGCATACGTAGTTGGATCATCATATCGATCCTTTCGGGATCGGAAAGCCTGTCCGGTAGAAGCCTCAAACCAGGGCGGTTCCTGGCGATCCACGACTTCATGCGATGATTGTGGCTGTCCGACATCAAATGAGCCTCCGTCGCGTGTTTCCCGCAAACCATGCAGTACTCGCAATAGTTGCGGTTGTTGTGGCTCAAGGCCTGAGGGCTTGACCACTTCCCCTCTGGGGCAATGTAAGGAGGAGTCCAACTGAAGCACCCGGTCCGCGAGGCTCACCCCCGTCGCCTTTGGGGCAGGTGGCCCCTCTACCTCCTCGTCGGAGGATATTTCCATTGCCTCCGCCCGGCCTGTCCAGCCCTTTTTCGCACTGGCCTTCATCAGCTAAACCCTTAAGGCTCAAGCTTGTGCCTTGGCGATCTGCGGAAACCCTCTGTTCACCTACATTGTCGCTCGAACTGCACACACCGTCATGCACAACCGACCGACCAACCAACCGACCATGCATGCCAAGCAAACGCTCTTCAGACTCACTGCACGCAGGTTGCACTACAGAAACTGGCTGCACCGAAGAGTCACTAAAACCTGGCTGCACCCACTGGCCTCGATCGGAAGACGTGGCCCCCGAGCACAAAGGTGAAGAAGATGGATCCACGGCACTCGATTGCAAAAGCTTTACCACTCTAGCAGGCAACTGACCTACCAACTGCACTCCAGGGCTGCCGCAAGACGATTGACCTACCAACTGCACTCCTGAGCTGTCGCAAGACGACTGACCTACCAACTGCATTCCTGAGCTGTCGCAAGACGACTGACCAACCATCTGCATTCCTGAGCTGTCGCAAGACGACTGACCAACCAACTGCCCAACAGAGTCCTCGCAAGCATGTGGCAAAACACTCGGTTCAACATGCGTTGTTTCATGCTGTTGTCGTGAAAAATCATGCCCGTGCTGTGAAAAATCATGCTCATCATGCGAAAACTCATGCTCATGCTGTTTCTCAGGCGAGGAAAACTCAAAAGACCGACCACTCGACAGACCGGAAGACGACGAGACACTCGCAAGCGTGAGCTTCGCGGAAGAATCAGCCATCACACTCTGAAGCCATGTGCAGTCGCCGAACACTGCTGGAAGCAGCGTCACCTCCTTACGTTCCGCTGTTAAGAGACCCCGGTAAAGGGTAGGCTTCCAGCCTCTCCAACAGAGGAGGTTGAAGTTTATCAGGTTATGTTTGATTTCGCTGCTAACTACCGCTTCTAGGCGGCAGGTGCACGCAAAGGTGCTCAGAACTCCTCCTCGCTGCTCGAAGTGTCGAGTGGTGAGAAAATTCACCTCGATCGTCGCGTGGGTGTCGCTTCCCACTTCCACCAGGTCGCCAGTGGCAGTCTGGCACACAGTCTTCGGTCGCTTCTGCCTCGACAAAACCTTGACGTGTCCACTCTCAAGCGTCGCCTGGGAAACCACATGGTACGAGCTCCCAGAGTCGAGAAGCCAATAGATCTTCTCTCCCGACTCAACGAAGGAAGGTGCGACCATGGGCATCGCAAAGTACGCTCCCTCAAGGAACGTTCTGACGCCCTTCTCTGTTCCCTTCCCAACGTCGCCCTGCGTAGTGGGCTGGTTGCTCGGCGCCTTTGGCGCTGCCTTGGCAGCTGCAGCGCTCCCCGAACTCTCAGCAGCGCCTGTCGTCACAGTGGCGTTGGCCTCGTGGTGGGAAACCGCAGCGGCTTGCTTCAGCCAACAGTCGCGGGCCCAATGCCCCTTCTTCCCGCAGTTGTGGCAAACGTCGGTCTTCTTGGCCTTGCTCTTGGCACGTGCAGCTGAACCCTTTGCGGGCTTTTCCTTCTCCTTGTTGCCCTTGTCTGCTCGCTCTCCTTTGCCCTTTCCTTTGTCTCCTTTGCCCTTCTTGCCTTTGTCGCCTTTCCCTTTGTCACCCTTGTCGCCTTTTCCAGCACCGAACGCGCTCAGGTAGCCGTGGTGGCTGGAAGTTTAGCACTCGAAGCTGCTCGTCGTAAAACTGCAGCCCTTGCAACATTGCATCCAGACCGCTGGTGGTCTGGTGCAACAAAAGGTACTTCTTCGCGTCCTCGTCCAGGTGCTTCAAGACTCCCAGAACAGCTTCTTGCTCGTGCACCTTAAGCTCAGGGTACTTCTTGGCAACCTGAGACTCAAACTTCATGAGCTCAGTCATGTACCACCTCATCACATCAAGTGGTCGCTTGAGGTGCTTGGGAGGATGAAGATTGATCATCTGCTCCCTCAGCGCTTGGCCTTCCACCCTCGAACGGACCGAGAGCTCTCGGTTGAGCAGGCGCCAGAACTCGTATCCAGCACTTGCTCCTTGCTGAGCAACCTCGATCAGGTGGATGAGGTCCTGGGCTCTTTGAAACTTGCTCAAACTCTGGCGTAGCAGGAACCAAAGCTTGCTGGACCGCGCTGCCTTCCCGACATCCAACGTACTCTGCTGAACTGAGACGGCGCTCTGCTCTGACTCGTCCAGCTCTTCTGCGAACCGGTCGTCAAGCAAACAGAGCCAACTGGTGAGCTCCTCCTTGTAGGCACTCCAAACCCGAATCTCAGCATGCCTCGTGTTCATCGAGGCAAAGTTCAGCTGAGGCAGAGTCGGAATGTAGCTCTCCGCCCTTCTAGAGCGGATTCCCGTGTCAACTTCCATTGGCGCGGGACCAGAGGTGTCACCCGAAGAGCTTGCAGGTGCGGTCGCAGCTGCGCTGGCACTTGTCTGGCTGGCGTTCTGGACACCAAGCACTGCCAGGTCCTTCACCAGGTTAGTGAGCTGCTGCACTTGGGCCGCTTGGGCCCTGATCTGCTCGTCCTGGGCCTGCATCATCTGCCGAAACAGATTCACAGTGTTGTCGTCAAGGCTTCCAGGGTTCACTGGCAACTGTTGAGGCACAGTTGACGCAGGAGGCTGTTGTGGTGGCGTTCCCAAACTGAAGTACTGCGTCTGCTGCGCAGCCTGTGCTGTCGGAGTCTGGCCCGAAGAGGCTAAAGGCCTCAGGTCTACTCCGGGACGGTGTGCAGAAGGAGAGTTACACTTCTCGCACGCACTCGTGGCGCTGAGGCAGACCTTGCAGAGAGGCTAGAACTCAAACGACTAGCTCTCCCTCTCGGAGAGCGGTCTCTCCCTGCTGCACCACCTGGGCCATGGCTTGCCATGGCTCTGGAGCACGAAGCTCCGCTACCACGTTAGTTACCGAGGGACCTCTAGGGAACCTTCGGGGCCTCTGGGCCTTTCGCACACAGCACTCAGACAGAGCGGGCACGCTCCACACTTTTCACTCTGCTGTTCTTCAGCAGTCCGAGTCTTGAGCCAAGCCCGGCACGGCTTGAGGCTTCAGTACACAGCTCTCTGGACTTCAAACACTTCACAGCTCGTGAGCACTAACAGCGAACTTGGGCTTCAGCTCTCTAAACACTAGAACTGGCTCCTGATGCCTCTTAGGCATCACGCTGTAGCTCTGGCGAAAGCAAACAGGCTTGAGACTCTTCACAAACACTCCAAGCGTCCGCAAAGCTCACTCTGAGGTTCGGGCGGTACGACCGACAGGCGGACCGACCGACCGACCAACAGACCGACAAAAACAAGGTTTCGAAAACATTTTTTGGCTTGACTGGGCCTCGTCGACTACGGCTGTAGCACTCGGTCCCTACAAACAAGCGAAGCTAACACAAACTAAAAACTACAAACTACAAACTGGCAAAGCGGTGAGACAGAGAAGCGAAGCTCTACAAAGGGCTGCGGCGCACAGGCTTTGCCGGTGGTAGCCGTTCAGCACCAACTACGGAGCCTCAGCGACCGGTCAGGAGCAACAAAGAGCCGTCGCTCAGAGTTGCCTAAAACAACAGGTGGAGCCAAGTCCAGGCTCCGGTTGCCGTTCTAGTCTCGCCAGACAACGGACAACCCCTGTGTTTTGTTCCTTCACGATCGAGCACACCAAAATCCAAAAGTCCACATCCCACTGCAGCGCGAGCGGCTTCCGGAAGAGGAGTGCGAAGGCCAGTGTCGCAGCAACCCGCCTAGGCAATCGCCAAGACAACAAAGGCGTGCCAAGCACAAACGGTCACGGTGCAACACTGGCAAAAAGGTGGGTAACACCCACACAGGCAACCTGCCGGGGTCCAACACGGGACCAGTTGTGCGACCAGTCCGTTCTGGTGCACATGGATACCGCCACCAGGAGAAGCAAACCAATGTCGCCAGCGGAGAGTTGGTACACAGGGTCAGCTGCTAAGGAGGCAGAGATCGCCATGGTGGACATTGACATGCAGGTCACCGCTTCCTCGGCATCGCCGCGCGGTTGGCGGCAATGGCGGTGGAAGAAACTCCCCAGTGGTGTTGAGGCCGGAAGGCGGCGAAGCTAAGGAGCGAACACTCTTCAGCTCGAACGTGCTCACCAACGTCCAGCCTCGACCACAGGTGGCGGCGCGCCATCGAGGTGCCGCAGGCATGAGGGACAAGAGAAAAAGACTCAACGACGTATGTCGTCAGTCGCATCAGCTTCCCCAGAGGGACCACGAGTGCCGACAGTGATGAACCGCCTGATCCCGTTGGTGCCGTAGCAACAGCACCCTGGGCCAGAAATCCATGGCCCACCGGCAGGAGGCCGGCAACCAGCCATCGGGTGTAACGACATGGTTTCGGGGGGGCCAGACTGCCAGACTCCCCACGACGTTGAGTCTGCCTCGGCAAGGCACGCTTAAGTCGAGTAACCCCAGGTGTCGCTTGCTCCAGAAACAAAGACACAACGACGTATGTCGTCGGTCACAACCGGCTGGAGGACAAACTGTCAACCGGAAGGCCAGCAACCGCCTAGCGCGGCCAGCTATCGAGGAGGCGCTGCATGTCACGTCCGCTCGAAGGGAAGTGACTCTCCCTTAAGAGATAGAGCAGCTGGTAGTTGCCCTCCTCATAGATTTCCTTCACTCTTCGAAAGGTGTATTGATGAGTGTCCTGATCTGGGGCATGGAGATGTGGCATTAGGTCGGTGGAGATACACGGCAACTGGAGGCCCGGCCCGAGGCCCCCTTGCCTCCGCAGCCGCTGCCCTCCATTCGTCGTGCGCCCAGGGATGCCCCAGCCTGACGTGGGGACGCTCGCCACCCGGCAGCTCCTGCGTCTGATTGTCCTCCCTAGCTACCAACCGGTGGAGGAGAACCATCGCTTTCGAGTCAAATGCGTCGAAATGCGCGAAGCGCCACAGCCGGTCAGGGAAGTAAAATTCTTTCTTTTGTGGTCCTCGTATCCAACCGGCCACTACCGCCCGGAGGTCCCATCCATCAGTGGTAGCAGCAGCACGAAGGCGCCAAAGTGCACTATGCAACAGGCCCACGGCCTGAATAGAGAGGGAAGGCTGAGCTGGCACACCCAGCGGGATGTCCGCAAGCGGAAAGAGCAACCGAAAAGTGCCCCGATACGCACCTGGGTACGTGAACATTCTCGGATCGAACTCGCCGCGCCGGACTGGGAGGAGTCCACTCTTGAAGCACGTCATCAGCCGGTCAGCAATGGCGATTTGGGGCTGGCCCACCAGGCTGGCAGGCACCTCGCATTTGACCCGGAGTGGGGCGGCCACAGGATCATCCGCTAATGCCCTTGTGAGATAGAGCAGCAACTGCACCGGCAATAGCACACCGCAGTGAGGCAGTGGAGTCCCTTGGTTCGAGTCGAGGCTCGCGCCGCTATCCCAGTAGAGTGTCGATGGCTCTGGTTCGGGGCCACGTCGATTGCCTGCTCGGAGATGTCCTCGCTTGGGAGCCAAGGACATCTGTACCAAACTGCCGTCCCGAACAGGGGACTTCCGTCCTTCCAATGCACAGTGGAGCGATCCTTTGAGCCCAGCAAGCTCATCCAAAAGCAGCCACCACCAAATCTCAGGCCGGGCAAGCTCATACCAGGACAAATTCGAAAACTCGTCCTTCAGGTAGGCGCAGAACTGGTCAGGTAAGGCAATCAATGTGTGCGGCATCGGTTCGCTGTTCAAGCAGGACGGAAATAACGGTGGTCACGCCGACCAGGGTTTTTTGACTCCTTGAAGCATGGACTTGGCCTCAGCAACGCGCGTCCGGCCAATGCCGACACTGGAGCCGCACACAGGGTCGCTGCGGAGGGCACCTCCTTTGCTAGGTTCATTGCGGAACGGCTGCCGGAGCTCCTTCCCCGAGACAAGCCACTGTGGAGCAAGCAATTTACGACCATCACAATGAATTAGGCGCCTTCTGACCTCTTCACCACCACAGTCTGTGCTGGATTGGCCCCTATCAATGGAGTTTGCTTGAATTTAGCCCTGGTTGCATCCACCTTCGCCGACCTCTGCCTGCTTATTACCGCCGTCGGTATCCGCAGTCCATTGTCCTGCATGAGGCCTCCGAATCCTCTCCGTGCCCGATCACGATTGGAGAATTAGCGGCGGACACCCCCGCGCGGCGACTGCAGCGAATAAGCGGCCGACGGCTCTTATGAGCCGGGCGTGTACTTCTTTGGACTTCCGAAACAGGCGGTCTCGCCACTTACCAAGTTTAACTAGTGGAGTGGTTTTCTGTCCTGTTGTTCCGGCACTAGGCGATTAGGCGGAGTCTCACCGCATTCAGCAGAGCCGCCACCCGTTTGGTCCATGCAGTTCGAGGCGACAGGGAGCGAGGTAGCATAACTTTGACGCAGCTCCGCAGTCAATATTTGGCCTCGACATCATCGAGGCGACTTTAACACGTGTCTCTTCCACTTATGCTGCGCGCCGACCTCAACCCGGGCACAGAGCTGCGTCTCAGCCGTCGGAGATGAAAATGAGTGCCCTGGACCTCGTCGCTGCCCCTTCGTCCGTCCAAAAAAGTGAGAACGCCCGGCAGGCGTCTCTCCGCGCGAGACCACTAGGAATCAAGGCCGAAAAAAGGAAAAAACTGAGAAGAGCGGACTGTTACGTCTGGTAGCAGGGCCCCTAGACCCTCTAGTTCAAAGTCCTCCGCCCTGGCCCCCCTTTTCTCTGGTCAACTCCAGGCCCCTGAAGCTCCTTTTCCTCCTGATGGTGGTGGGGCTGCGCCCACCCCGAAGCCCAAGCCGAAGCCCAAGCCTGTTTCTCAACCTAAGCTCCGGCAGTTCTGGGCCCAAGGTGGGAAACCTTGGGGAAGCCGTAGCCTTTGTGTAGGCACTTTTCCTTAAGGACCCTTTCCCCCTAGTCTCCTGTGACTTAACTCCTGCCTCAGCCTCAGTTTTCCCCAAGCCTCTGAAGCGCCAATAGCTGCAGCCATGGCTCACGAGCACCTCGCTTCCTCGGCCTTGGCCCTCTCAAGCTTTCGAGATGGGCTGGGAATGGGAAAGGAAGTGGTGCTACCACTCCTGGAGATGGGAATGGCGAATGGTTTGGAACGGCCCTGAACCGTTCGGGGCTGATTTCTGGGAGGCCCCAGCAGATCAGACGCCGGTCACAGCTCCAGCTCGGGAGCATGTGGTGATACCGGCGGATCTGATGGTCCCACCACCAGTTGGCAGGACTGGCAGGGATGGTGGGACGGGTGGGACTGACCGACAAGGCTGGCGACAGCGGTGCCAGCGGGTCCAGGGATGTCCCACCCGCCTCCTCTGAAAGGCGTGGTCGTTCCACCTCTTCAAAAGGGCGAGGCAAACAGCCTTCCGTCCACCGGGGTGACAAGACCCTCGTCCAGGCCGAAAGGAAGCATGTGGACGAGCGTGCCAAGAAAAACCCCGATGCGAGGCGGGTCTCGGTTTCCAGCTTTGTGCGGAACCGAAAGCGTCCCCCTCGCAGCCAGAGGGAGGCCCTAAAGGCCGAGAGAGATGGATCTAACCCTCCTAAGGCCACGCCGGACGGCAAGCCGCCTAGAGTCCGCACCCCTCTGCCCTCTAGGCGGACTGGCGGCAACAGCAAAGGGGCGGCGAAGGCTCCGACGGAGCCTCCGCCGCCAGGGGACCAGGAAGAGATGTTGCCCTGGTCCGGCCGCATCGTTCAGCAAAAGACTGCGGTCAAGTCGTCGGCAAGGGCCAGGTCGCAGCAGCTCTGAAGAGGTGATGGAGCCCGACCCACCCTCTGCTGCGCCGGGTCCCGGCTTAGAGGAGGCACCCTCCGGCCAGGGAAATCTGGCCCTGCTGAGCTCGGATCTGTTCATCCTGAGCTTGCAACATCTGCCTGAAAAGGTTGACAGTGTTGTCTTCTGGACAGGCACAGATGCCTGCTGAGGATTCCTCCTCCGTGAGGGAAAGTCGGTTGCGTTCCAAACTGAGGCTGCTGCTGCTGCTGAAAACCCTGCTGCAAAGGAACCTTGAGGCACCTGTGGAAAAGGCACCTGAGGCACTTGACCTGCACTCACAAGAGGTCTGGGTCTACTCACAGAACGGTGTGCTGTCGGACTGTTCCGAGCAGGGAGGGACCTTCCACGAGTTCGCGAGCCAGGTGCACTCACCTCTCGAGGGGTTGAGGGAAAGCCAGAAGAAAGCGGCCTCTGGCAAGTCGTCACAGGTTACTCCAGAAGCCGGGAGACCTGCAGGTTCCTGCCCTTGGTTCTCGTCGCGGCTGGAACTCGACCCTGAAGGAGAGGTTGAGCCCGTTGAGACCGGTGCCCCGGATTCGGGGACGGCCTTGTTGGTGGCCTCGTCCTGAGCAGGTGGCAGCCGAGCCTAGTCGTGCCAGTTCAGCGGGCGTCCCTTGGGACGAACTTGCAGCAACAGGAGCTGTATTTGCGGCCGAACTTGCAGCGTTTGCACTCGCAACGGCGAGTGTCTTCACAATCTGGCCCTGCTGAGCTCGGATCTGTTCATCCTGGGCTTGCAATATCTGCCTGAAAAAGTTGACAGTGTTGTCTTCTGGACTAAGCACAGATGCCTGCTGAGGATTCCCTCCTCCGTGAGGGAAAGTCGGAACCTGTTGAGGTACCTGTGGAAAAGGCACCTGAGGCACTTGACCTGCACTCACAAGAGGTCTGGGTCTACTCACAGGCCGTGCTGTCGGACTGTTCCGAAGCAGGGAGGGACCTTCCACGAGTCCGCAAGCCAGGTGCACTCAACTCTCGTTGACTCTGATGGTGTTGAAGATGGATGTGGACACAGGCTTGCGCAGCAACAGGGCGGAAAACTACATTCCGTCCCTGCCAAAGTTGGCAGCAGACAAGATGAGATCGCGCCATGAGGAAATCTCCACGTGGACCGCTTACCGCGAAGAACTGACCTCCTGGCTGTGTCTTTTAGACGACCGCTACGCGGAGGAACTGCAAGAGGCTGTGGCCTCGACATAGAGTGTCGCCAACCGCCGGAGGCGCGTTGGATCGCCCTGGCAGTTAAGCCCTCCGCTCTTGCCTCGGAGGTGCTCAGCCTGTGTCGCAACAGGCTCAAGCTGGAGGGCTTGGACTGCCTCCAGGTCTGGCCGGACGAGGCGATCCTGGACCTTCGGTTGCCCATGGGCGACCAACTTCGCGAGAGCGAAAGGACCCTCATGGCTACTGGGTCTTCGGCGGGCGGCCAGTGGGCCAGCCCCGGCCGAGAGTGCGGGGTCTGACGGAGGGACGGGGTGCCCCCCCCCTCAAGAGCTTCCCTCCGCGGATTCAGCTCTTGAAGAGGTTGTGGTGGCACCACCCTCGTATGGCCCCCACCGAGCTGTCCACAGCCCGGATGGGCTTTTTTGTTACGCTTGTAAGGTTGGGTGCCCTACAATCGAACATATGCAAGCCCATTTCATGACCCCCGGGCATCAGGAGAGGGTCAGGCGGTTTTTGGCCTCCTAGCCTGACCCTCTCCTGGGCAGAGACAGGATGCTCTGCAGGGTGAGGTGAACCTCCCTTTCGGGTGAGGCTCCCTCCCTGTAGGACTTTCGTCCTGTTTCACTGGGATGTGGCTCACCACTCCCAGGAAGTGGTTTTCCACTCCTGCCATTAGCTCAGGTAGGTCAGGTAGCCTGCAGCTCTTGGTAGGAGTAGCCACTGCCGCCACTTTGGCGATGCCCGCAAATGCGGATGACTCCAAAATACTTGGAGTTAATTTATGCATGTCGGACCAGCCTACGGGCTGCTTCTGTGAAGCGTGTGCGAGAAAAGTTTTGCTCTTGGCTCAAGTTTTCGGCTCGAGCTCCACAATAAGCGGAGTGCTCCGGCGCGAAAGTAGCTGTCTAACTGGGCACTGAGGCCTCAACGTTTCTTTGGGAACCAGGCCTCTCTGAACCCCAGGTGTAGTTTCTTTTGCCATAGAGTCGAGGACTTGGTTTTCCAGTCCCAACCCTATCCCAGCTCCGGTCTCACCGGGCTGGTGATTTGGGTGCCCTTCCCAGCCTCAGGACTTGGTCAGCCAGTCCGGGCTTGGGTCCCCAACACAGTTGGGCAGCCCCAATCCGTGACCAGGGTCTCCCGGTCCAAAGATGGCTAAAGGAAAGGGCAAGCAATGGGGCAGAGCATACCACGTTTGCAAGGGCAAAGACTGTCACAACTGGTGTTGGGCAGACGCGGTAGTGAAGACCCCCAAGTGCAGCGGGTGTGGCAGGCAGTGGCCCCAGCCCCCCAAGGCTAAGGGACCGGCAATCCCTCCCCCGCCACCCACGCCACCGGAGGCTAGGAGATGGGGACGCGGGGCTGGCAACACCCGTCACTTCTTACGCCTTCTCCACTCTAAGTGGGCCGAGCTTGGTGATTCAACCAAGGAGGCTTTTCAGGCTGCTGGGTTCAAGCCCAGGCCACAGCCGCCGGAAGAGACCTCTCTGCTTGACAAGCTGCACAGTCGGAAGGCTGAACTCCCGGAGGACATCCAGATTCTGCTGGCTGCCTCGGAGGAAGCCCCCTCTGCAACCCCCTACGAGGAGGGCCAGCACTCTTCCAACGCGCTCACCAAAGCCTCGCATCGCTACCGCCAGCTGGCCCGAAAAAAGCTGGACCTCCAGGCCTCGGTTAACCAGGCCAAAGATGACCTAAAGGCAATGTTGGAGGAGATTCAGGACGTGGACAAGCTGATGGAGGAGGCCAAGCAAGCCATTGAGGATGCCCAATCCAAGCTCACCGAAGCTTTGGAACAGTCTGATCCCACCCAGGCCTCCCCACCGCCCATTGGAGAAGTTGCCAGCTTTCAGAACTTTGGGCATTGAGTTCACAGCGGAGCAGCAGGCAGTTCTGGACAAAGCCGTCGCTGCTCAGTTGCCTCCCGGCCTCTCGGCACGCCCAAATCCGCTCTTTGATTTCCAGCCCCGCCTTACCGATCCACAAGGTAAGCCTGTGCAGGATCAGAAGGCAGGGGAGGAAGCCAAAGAAGCGGGCACGGAAGCCGAGGATGCTAGCATGAAGGAGCCTCTAGAAGGTGAACCGGAAGAGAACTCAAACCCCCGCGATCGCAGCCCACGCCGCACGAGCCGCAACGGCTCCAAGGAGGCTAACAAGACCCAGGAGTAGGGGCTCGGTGGGGGCGCAGCCGCCCTCTGGGTGGCTGTTTTTGATTGCTCCCAGAGGGCTCTTGGCTCGCCCTGGGCCGAGGTTTTCAGTGGCACGCCACTGCCTGTTCTCACTGTACTGCACGCAGGCTTCCTGCTTGCTCTCAACCTGGCTTCATGGGCTCTTTGCTTGGCCCAAGGCCCCCTTTTACTAACTCCATTCCTGCAGTCTTGGGAACCTCTCACGCCAACGTGTTCGGTCACCCAGACTCAGGAAGGGTTCTCTTTTCCCAAGCGTTATACCACACGGCTGCGTTGCGTGTCTTGTTTCTGTACACTGAGCACTCAGCACCAGCCTGCACTAGGCCATGGTGATAGAGGGACTGGTTCGGAAGGCCGCGGGCAGAAACCGTGCGGCCCCCTCTGCAACCAGTGTCTTATCACACCATGGCACAATCAATCTCATTCTGTTCGACCCTCTCAACACCCGCCCCATCACACGGGGCCGAGGTTTTTCCCTCAAACTTTTGCGGATCAAGACCTTGACGAAGACAGCCAGCCTGGAGCTTCCCAATGCGGCCCCCCTTCCTTCCCCTGTGCGAGTGTCTCCTCCAGCACTTCTCGGCCGAGGAGATCTCCCGCTAACAAGGCGAAGAGGGTTGGAGGACAGGCGGGGCACTGCCCCGGGAGCTCTCAGGCGGCCCCCTGCCAGCTTTGTCATACCCAGGCCACGTTGCAGCCTTGGGTTACCAAACGGGCGTGGTGGCGCAAAATCCAGAGAGCCGCTGCCGCTGGGCGGTGGCCACAAGGGTCCGAGCAACCACAACACTCGAGCCGATCAAGACCTGGAAGGTCGGTTCGGAGCACAAAACCTGTGGATCTTGCAGGGCCCTGCTGTCGAATCTCGCCTCCTTCCAAGCAGGTGCGCACAGTAACCCACAGAGTTCGGATACTCTGAACGACTGGGCGGCCCTCAAAGAACTTATCCAGGCAGGTCAGTCCGGCCTCCAGGATAGACAGGCCCAGCTTTTGCAATGGGTTGAGGACCATGAAGCCGGCCTTGTTGAAGGTACGCTCCCACACTGGACGGCTTACCATATGGTCAGTTGCATCGAAGAGGGACTGGATGATGTGGCAGGCCTGGTTGGTGCCATCAACCACATCTGCTCCTCCCCGCCTGCGGATGACAGGCAATCGTTCCGCTTCGCGGTGGCCAACATCACCACTTATCGGGCAGAGATTCAAGCGTGGGTTTCCCAGCTTGACTTTGACGCTTTCGGGTTGCAGGAAACACACCTCCTCCCCGCGCAAGCCCAGAATGTGGTTACCTCTTTCGACCGTGGCAAGTGTCGCGTAGTCCCTTCCCCGGCCCACGACACGGGCAAGGGCACCTCAGGAGGGCTCCTTTTTGGCGCCCGCAACCACATCAACATGAGAACTGGGCCCCAGTTCTCGCTGCAAGGCAAAGGGTTCCAGTTTGGCATCTTCCGCTTTAGAGGAAGGGACGTTGCCATCGGCCACATCTACCTCGAGAGCGGCCCCGGACCCGGTGGGGGACTCAATCCCGCGATCCTTGCCGAACTCCTCTCCACCCTGGACACTCTGTCCTGCCCTTGGATAATGGCCGGTGACTGGAATTGCAGCTGGCACGAGTTGCAGGAATCCTCGTTCGCCTGCCATAGCAGGGCTGCATTCGTTGTACCTGGGGAACCCTCCACAACCCACGGAGCGACGATCGACTTTGCCGTCTGTTCTCGCCAACTTCAAGGACTCCTCGAGGCCAAAGTGAGCTGGGAAGTCCCCTTCCGACCTCATGCCCTGGTCCTGTACGAGTTCCAAGTTTCTTCTCTGGGGACTATGGTGCTTCAGCCCAAGTCCTTCCCAAACGCCTGCCGTGACCAGGCAATTGAGGAGGCCCGACCACCTGACCCTTCCTCCGTGCGGTTCTTGCTTGAACCCCCCCGAGCGCGACACTTCCTGGGGTGGATTCGTCAAGTGGCTAGAGGCCACCACCTGTGCTGATGGGATCCAAGGCAGGGGTTGGAACGTGCAGGCCGACATACGGCCTCTCACCCCGCCTGCTTCTCCCAACTTTCCATGGTTTGGGAGAAAATCTGGCTACTGGGACCGGCTCAGCCTCTGGTTTCAACAAGCCGCCGAGCACCGGCTTCCTTCCAAGGTTCGGCCAGTGGTGCTTCGCCACCTTCTCTGCCCTGAAGCCGACTTTGAGGTCGAGGGCTTGGATTTACCAGCCCTACGGCACTGCCTTGCAGCCCATATTCGCGAAGGCACCCCTCCTCTTCAGGCGGAGCTTTCGAGCTTGGCCACAGTCCGAAAGGCTGCGGCTGAGGACAAAAGGACCTCTGACAACAACCGGTACAAAACCTGGCTAGAAGAGGCCACCCAAGGAGGCATGAAGGGCCTCTATGGGGCACTCAAGAAAGCTGAGGTTACCACGGTTCGCCCATACCGGGACCTCCCTCTTGAGCTACGCCATCATGAGAGAAGACTCGATTGGCAAAGGCTTTGGGAGCCTTCCTCCAATCGCCGAGCCTTGGAGGACCCGATCTTCTCTCGCCTTTTGGAGCGTGCGGTGGAACAGCACCATGCGCTCGGCCCGGTCTCCGCTGAGGAGCTCACCAAGGTGCTGAAGAAGCTCTCCACGAAGGCCCCGGGATTGGACGGTCTTACCGCACCCATGCTTAAGCGAGCCTCGGTGCCTCAGATCGCCGAGCTTGCGGACCACATCCAAGCTTGGGAGGCTAAGGGCCAGATGCCATCCCAGGTCCTCACCACTGGAGTCACCATGCTCCCAAAGAAACCTGAGAGGGAGCGGCCGATTGGCCTTACCTCTTACGGCTATCGCATTTGGGCTCGCTCCAGATGGCCGGTGTACGAGAAATGGGCCCGGGCCTATGCGGCCACGGCCCCATGGGACGGTGCAAGACAAGGTGCATCCTCACTGGATATAGCCTTGGCAAGGCTTATCAGAAGTGAGGTAAACCATTTCCACAAAACGAAGGGCATAACGCTTCTGCTTGACCTTCGCGAGTTCTACGAACACGTAGACCTTGTGGGACTTACGCACTCTGCGATGGAGCACGACTTTCCTCCAATTGTGCTCCATCATTGCATCCAGCTGTACACCCACTCCAGGTACATCTGCACCGAAGGAGTCCTGGCATCCCCGGTCAGGCCGACTCGAGGGGTGATCGCGGGCTGCCCTTTTGCTCCGGGTCTTTCGAAGCTTGTTCTCCACCCCGTGATGAACGTGCTTCACCATTGCCCCAGCCTACACAACTGTGACTTGTACATCGACGACTCAAGTTTCGATGTGGAGGACGCATCGGTCACCACCGTCGTCCATAAAGCATTGGAGGTCTGGAGGCTGGTCAAGCAGCAGCTTACCCAGCGCAAGCTCCCCATCTCCATCGCCAAATCGGCTTGGGTTTGTTCCAGCCGGGAGGTTGAGAAAAAGCTTTCCGCCCACCTCGGGGAAGCCGACCCTCAAATCCAGTCCTGCTGGAGGGACCTTGGTGTTGACTCGGCTGGGGGCAAACGCAGGAGGGTGACCATTCACAAGCAGCGTTTCCGGAAAGCAGGCTGCCGCTCTCAGAAGCTCACCCAGCTCCGTGCTAAGGACGCTGCGCGCAAGAAGGCTGCCAAGGCCGGGGTTGAGGCAGCAGCAGCGTATGGTCATCAGGCTGTGGGTCTGGCGCCCAAGCGACTGAAATTTCTTCGTCAGCTCACAGCGCAGCACAATGGAAGGCTCACCAATGGAGCCACGGAGGTTGTGCTCGACCTTCTTTGCACCACTAAGCCTGATCCCTCTGGGCGGTTGGTGGAGCAACACTTTAGAAGCTTCGTTGCCATGACAGGCAACTGGCCCCAGGCCCTCAAACCTGCTCTGGAAAACGCCTTTGAGGGCATGTCCCAGCGTGTTGCCTCACACAAAGAGCTTTGGAGGATTGCAGCCGGGCCAATAGGAGCCACGCTGTGCTACTTGAAGGAGCTTGGGTGGCAACCCAGCTCTCTTCTCCGTTGGGAGATCCACTCCCAGCAATACGATTTGGAGGACCCGCTGCAATTGGAAGGCATGTTACGCCTGCTGAGGACATTCTGGTCCAACAAAAGGCTCCAAGCAATCTGCCAACTTGAAGGCGGCGCCTCCTTAGCAACCGGGGTTGACTGGACCATTGGCAAAAGACTGCTTCGCAAACTCCCGCCGCTGCAGAAAAAGAGCCTCCAAGCGGTCTGGCAAGGAGCCCTCCGGTGTGGCAAGAAGGCCTGGTGCACGAGATGCCAAGAGCCCGCTTCCCAGCAACACTTGCTTTGGGATTGTCGATGGTGGCAGAACCACGACCCCATTCCCGAGCATGTGGCTGAGTCGCTCACGAGGGTTGACCCTGCCGTGAAGATAAGGGGCTTGGTGCCTTCAGGCCAGCCCCCGCCAGGCGACCATCCCACTGTCATTGAGGGCCTCTGGAAGGACGGCCTCATCCTGGAGGACCCCGATATCTTCTATGCCACCGACGGCTCTCCTGGTTCCACCAATGACCCACGAGCCTGGAAGCTCACATGGGCGGCCATTGCCTTCAAACTCAAACCTGGTGGCATCGAGGTAGTCGCTTCGGCGGCGGGTCCCGTTCAAGCGGAACAGTCCGTGTTCCGCGCGGAGGCCTCCGCGCTGCTCTTTCTGGTTGATCACACGGCCGGTGACATTGACGTCACCATGGATGCCAAGAGTGTCAAAACCCGTGTAGAAAGAAGGAATCTTGGCCGCACCTCGCTGGACTTGGTTCAACCAGTCCGAGCACAAGCAGAGCGACTCCATCTCCATTGGATCCGTAGTCACAAGTCCCTGGAGTGTCACTGCCAGACCTTCGGAAGCCACTCTGCTTGGCGATGGCATGCCAACCAGGCTGTGGATAAGCTAGCTGGTGACCATGCCAATCGCTCCCGCGACAGGCTCTGGGAAAGCCAGCTTGAAGCCAGAGACGCCGACGCCAGTGCCGTCCTCAGTTTTTTGGCGGCACGTGCTGCAGCCCTCTTCGAGTACGACCAGGATCAAGGCCCTCAGATCCAATTCGAGGGTGAGGCCAGCTCCCAAAACCAAAAGGGCAGAGCGTCTGGGTTCAAGAGGAAAGGCAAAGTCATCCGACCCGAGCCGGCCAAACCCGAACGCCAGGCTGGGAAGCCCAACAAAAGGGACCTCTTGCGGGAAGCAGTCCTCAAGCCCCAGCTCGGGCACACCTGGAAGTGGACCTCTGAGCACCAAAGTGGGGCCCGCATCAGCTGTACCACGTGTAAGCTGGGCGCTCAGCAGATTTCTCCTGAGAAGCAACTTCGGAGAACACTGGCCCAGCCCTGCATCGGTCACTGCTCCCAGGAACTCTTTCTCAGTTTCTGGCAGTGCCACCCGACCCACCACATGGTTTTTGAAGGCACCTTGTGGAGGTGCATCGGGTGCAAAAGGACACACAGGCCTGGGTCCGAGACTTTGATTCATTACCTTCTTGATCCTTGCAAGGCCAAGCCCAGAGCTACTGGTGCAAAACCAAGCAAGGAACCAGCCCCAGCTGCAAGGGGTTTGGCTGCCATCTTCTCCCAGGCCAAGGCCAGATCGTCGTCAGCCCCCGCCCCTTCGAGGGCAGTGGTGGCTGAGGGCACGGGACTTCGTGATCCTCCCGCCCTTGACGCCGAGGCCGCAGGCGATACCTGTAGCCAGGGGGTTCCTGGTTTACCCAACCCCTCTGCCAAATCCAAGCCCAGGCGGGCAGCTCAGGCAAGCCTTGGGGCCCTTCACCCCTCGAATCCCAGCCCGGTGGTAGGTCAGGACGGCGGCTCTGTGGGTAAACACCCCGAGCTGCCCAGATCTCCTTCAGCCCCTGCACAAAGCTCGGGCTCCCGACCATTCAACCCTGCCCCTAAGCCGGGCAAACGGAGTAAAACTCCAAGGGCTTCGATGGCGCCATCCACAGGTGGTCCCAAGCAGGCAAAACTGCACTTTGGGGCCCCCAAACCTCCCCCCAAAAATTAGTAAAAGGTTGTTTCTAGGGTTCCCCCACCACCCCCTATATAGGACCCTATACTGTTTTTTAACTTGTCTATCTCATTCGTTATCGTTTTTGTTGTATCCTCATAGAAAATCTTTATGTAGTTTTGGGGTAACTTTTGAATTATTATTATTACATACAACTTATGATGGTTTATTATCATAAGGTTTTGTCTAAGTTTTATCTCTTACCCTATCCCAATACTTTATGCTATCTTACATCATAATCTTAGGCATTAGTTTCCTTCCTTAGTTGGTTTAAGTCGGGGTATTATGTATAATATTATGTCTAGGTTTTATGTGGTGGCTTTTGTCTACATTTATAATAATATTTTTTATTAATATTATTATGAATGGTTACAAGCTACACTAAATACAAATTATTAGAATGCATTTGTTCCATATAATCATAACTGAAATTTTCATATTCTTTCAAATATTTGAGATGTTTTTTAGATTGTAAATGTCTTTCCCATTTACATCTCGTTATTTTGCAATGACAATAACAACAATCAACTGTTTCACTTTTCTTACTCAGTATTTCTTCTTTATGTTCTTTGTAATATTCTTTGGCTTTCTGTCTTAATTGTTCCCTGTTCTTCTCTCTATATATGGCTTTCTCTTCTAAACATTCATTACATAACTTTCGCTCTGGTTTAAAATGTTCTTCTCCTTTTTCCTTTTTGCACTTAGAACACGTTTTAGTAGGTTGCTTAATGTCAGCATTTTCCATGTAATATTATGGGGCTATTTCTTTAAATGTGTTTTGTTTAATAGTTATAATAACTTGAATTTTCTTGTCAATTTTTAGGCTCACGACCACGTTCACATATGTGCCCGACCACATCACATATGTGCCCGACCACATCACATATGTGCCCGACCACATACACATATGTACCCAACCACATTACCTAAATCAATGCTAAAACCCTCATTTTAGGTGGTGTTTAGGCATGTGGTTAACCACATTATGTGCCCGACCACATACACATATGTACCCAACCTCATACTCATATGTGCCCGACCTCATACTCATATGTGCCCGACCACATACACATATGAACCCGAACTCATATACATATGTAAGCCGTGGTGGCCGGCCTAGAGCCCTCGCCCCAGCCCAGAATAAAAAATATACTTAAAGATATTTTAACATTATATTAATATAATGTTTTTATCAACATTAGAACAAGAAGAAATTATTAATAAATTCTTAAATGTTATTGAAATGAAAACAATTATTAATCATAAAGTTAGTATATGTAAAAACTGTAAGTTTAATCAACAGAACTTGAGCTTATATAAATTAAATATACCTAGTAATATTGTTAAAGATATTTGTAAATATAATTATAAAGAATGTGAAGTATGTAAAACTTTAAAAGAGTTTAAAGAAAATGTTTATGATTACAGTATGGAAGATTTTGAAAATGTGGTTAAAGCAGTTGAAGATAAACAACAATATAGTTTAAACAATTACACAGAACATAAAATAGATAATCAAATATATTATTATATTAAACTAAATCCATTTCCTACATTTGATGAGACATTACGTTATACCAAAAGTGTAATACCAGAATGCAAATTTTATAATATTGATTTCTATAATGAGGTTAAATTATTATATTATAATTCATTTAATGTTGATAAAAAAGTAAAAGAATTTTACAGCAAACAACGAAATAAATTTATAAATGATTATTATGAAAATGTAGATAAAAATAATGATACAAGGAGTAAATTTATTAATTATATAAAAAGTCAAATAGATAAAGTTGAAAGTGCAATTAAAGAGATTTTATCATACATAGACAATAATGAAAAATTTAGTAAACTAAAATTTAAATTGTATTCAAATGAAGCTTTTAAATTTATTAATATGCGAATAGGAGAAAATGATTTTGACGATGATTACACATTTGAACGTTTTATAGATGCTAAATATCCTTATATACCTAAAGAGCAATATATGAAAAAATACGAAAAACAAAAACAATTACGAAAGGAAATGGAAAAAGATTTTATGAATAGAGTAGATGACTTTTTAACATAAGACAATAACTATCATATTATATTATAATATGAATGTTAACCGCCAGCCCAGCCGGCACCCCCTAGGCTTAAAGGGTAGCCACCTTAAAGGGTATGGAGAGCCCCAGCCCCACCACGGGTATAAAAAACTACTTAAAAGAAAATCTATATTATAATAATATGGATATTAATAGACAAAAATCTGTAATGAAATATGTTTTAAATAGTGATGTAGGTAAAATTAAAACAAATAAAGACGGTAAACAATTAAAAAAAGTTATCATAGATGATAAAGAATACCCATATAATCCATCAAAACCTTTTTCAGGAACACTTATAAATAAACTAGAACAAGTAGAAAAAACACAAGGTTACAAACGTTTTAATATACTTGATAAAGCATCTAAGGGAATAGCCGTAAGAAAAGCTTTAAAACGATATTCTATATCAACATTCGGCACAAGAACTAACGTATTTACAGCTTTAAAAGCTTATGCTAACACATATGCCATAACAAACATTCAAAAATTAGGATATGCAGGATTAACTCACATATATTATCAAAAACCTAGATTAAGAGAATATTTAAACAAAAACAAAAGTATGAAACTATTAGTTGATGTATCCGTTCAGTTTAAGCATTTAGAAGATGAAGATAAGGATTTTGTTGCTAGTATTCGTTCACGACGATATAATATATTAAACGACAAAGACTTAAACAATGCAATAAATAATATGGCATCAGATATAGAAATAAGCGTAGAAAACAAGAATTTTTATAGGTCTGATTTGAAGCTTCATAAAATAAACAAAATAACATTTCATTATGATAAATATGACCCGACAAGAGCGGGTAAATTTATTGAATTACCTAGATGGATTTCTTTAAAGAAGGCTTGTATTAACATTCAAAACAATGATGAATTTTGTTTCAAATATTGTGTTTTATGTAAATTTTTTGAAGTATATAAAAAAGACCATCCTTGTAGAATATGTAAATATAAACCTTTTGAAAATGATAGCATAATAAAATGGGAAGGTGTTAATTTTCCAGCTTCAAATGAGGATATTGATTATTTTGAACAAATAAATAAACAGAAAATTTCAATAAATGTTTATATAGTAGATAATCAAAAAATACGAGTAGATAGAGTTACAAAAATAACCGAACCTATATGTCATGTTAACCTTCTTCGTCTTGATGATGATGAGGGAAGCCATTATGTTTTTATTAAAGACTATTCTAGACTTTTAGGAGGACAAACAAATAAAAAAACAAATAAACAATTTTATTGTCATTATTGTCAAAAAGGATTTACGAAAGAAAACTTATTGCATACTCATCTTACTAAGGGTTGTATGGCTAACGAGGTTCAAACAACACAGATGCCCGAAAATAATGAAAAAATGTTCTTTAAAAACCATTATAAAAAGTTGAGATGTCCATACGTTATTTATGGTGATTTTGAGTGTTTAACAACCTTATCAAATGAAGGATTAAAAGGGTCATACCAAAATCATAAACCATCAGGATTTATGTTAAATGTTGTTAATTCTATCACAGATGAAGTTAAGCCTTATCTATACAGAGGTGAGGATTGTATGAATGTATTTTGCAATAAAATGAATGAAATAAGAGTTGACATTATGGAAAAAATGAATAACCCTTTACCCATGGAAAAATTAACAGATGAAGAAGAAAAACAATTTAGAGAATGTAAAAAGTGTCATATTTGTGGAGGTTCATTTAATGATACGAAAGATAAACAGAAGGTTCGTGACCACTGTCATTTTACTGGTAAATATAGAGGTTGTGCTCATAACAAATGTAATTTAGATTTTTCTTTCAGATACTTTAAAATACCCGTATTCTTCCATAACCTTAAAAATTATGATGCTCATTTAATAATATCTAATCTTGATAAGTTGAATAGTGAAAAAGCCGATATAAATGTAATCGCGCAGAATAGTGAGAAATTTGTTACCTTTTCAATTAAACAAATTGAATTTAAAGATAGTTTTAGTTTCTTATCTTCATCGTTAGATAAGCTAGTTAAACTAACTAAATATGAGAATAATGAAAAAAGACCTGACTGGACAAAGCATTTTAAATATAGTAAGATGAGTGAATATGTAAAAGATGATTATGATTTAGATTTACTAACGGATAAGGGTATTTATCCTTATGACTACATGAATGACTTTAACAAGTTCAATGAAACAGAACTACCAAGTAAAAAAGAATTCTTTAGTCAGTTAGTTGAAGAAGATATTACAGATGAAGATTATACAAGGGCAACTCATATATGGAAGCATTTTAACATTAAAAACTTAGGTGAATATCATGACTTGTATTTAAAAACTGATGTGTTGTTATTAACAGATGTTTTTGAAAATTTTAGAACTCAATGTTTAAAAGATTATGATTTAGACCCTGCTCATTATTTTACATTACCTAATTTTGCTTGGGATGCTATGCTATTAAAAAGTGGTGTAACTTTAGACTTAATATATGATGAGGATATGTATAAAATGGTTGAGAGAGGACTTCGCGGTGGAATGTGCCAACTAT